TCAGTTACGGGAGTCCATGGCGACTCGAATACTCCCAGCCAAGCATGACGCAAGCAGTGACCATGAGTCGTTTCTCGCCACAACTCTATTGCGCACAGGCGTATTATTTGAAATTTCAGGCTCGAACTCGGTTGCACTCGACACTAGGCCTGTTCTTGTGTGTCTTTCCCTCTTATACTACATCGCAGTTGTTCTCCGTAAAGATATATCTGGCGTAAAAAGAACATCAGAAACAGCAGCATCTGTCAGTCGCCTTCTGTGATGTCATCAAGACATTTTTCCGGTACTCAGATTTTGTTCAGTGTCGGACGCGGCGGAAGGAAGGCTATTGCCGTCAAAGCTACGCGTCAGATTGAATTAGTGAGGTGTTATTAAAAGGTACTAGAAAGTATATTTTAGCATTATTAAGAGATACTAGAAAGTATATTTTAGCATGATTAAGATACTAAAAAGTATATTTTAGCAAAATTAAATGCCAAAGGACTTAAATACGTTATCTACCATCTCTTTGGCACCTCAGATATTATTTTTTAAAAATGCCATAGTTATTGTTCCGGCAACGGTTCTCCGGCATGCATGCACACCAACTCTTTGCGCACGAACATACTTTCACGCTCTTTCACGTGACTGCGACCAACACCCGCCTGACAGTCGGAAAACCTAGTAAAGAATAAGGGTTGTTATTTCTATTATTATTTTTTGCTATAAATGAGAAATGTTTGAATTGATGTGTTTTGTCGACACCTGGGAAACATTGTTTTCACAACAGTATGCACTGCAGGAAAGAGATGCGCGTGCATGCCGGACGGAAGCCAAAATGTTATGGGATCCGGTGCAGGAACAATAAAAAATAAACCTTCCCGAGGTTTTTACTATTCAAATTGGCCTTATCAAATAAAAAGGCAGCGGCGACATCACATAGGATTTTCTCAAAGCCATGATTTCGCAAAAACTGCCCTTTAACTTCGGTCTTAAATCTCTCGATTCTAAGGTCTGGAATCTCGACGTTCCAGCAAGGGAAGAGTCTGAAAAAGGGAAATGTAGAGATCGTCTTCTGGAATCTGGCTGCATCTTAAGCGGAAGACCAACAACCTCGCCAGGATTCGAGCAGGAAATATGCTGATAAATCGGTAGCCATAGGGCCTGCCAGGCTCGGATTTACTAACGCATATACGAGATCGTATCAGGTTGTTAACATCGTAAATCAAGCAACTGTCTCGTTTCTCACAACGAGCGTATTTTCACAACACTCCCGAGGTCGTTAACACGTTTCCGCACGAGAGACACTTTCGAGTGTCCGACACCACCCGTTACGTTTATCGTGGCGACCCTCCTCCGCTCAAATCAGCCTCATAAGTACCTTCAAAAGTGTGCAGCTGTGAATTTTCGTTGGGGAAAGCAATTCATACGAAAGAGCAACACATTTAGGAGGAAATTTAACTGAAAAAAACAATATGGTAATGTAAATAAGGATGGCCTTTGCCGATCCGCGGAAACACCTCATGTGGGCCTCAGGTAAATCGCTCAACAAGTTTAGTTTATCATGAATTAAAGGAGTTCTGACGCATTATCAGGAACGAATTTTGGATGAAAATGTATAACTTCCATTAGTATGACGATTTTCTCTAGAACAAATTATAATAATTATTCAATAACAAAGCTTACCAATATATAGGCACACCTCTTATACCCTAATGTAATATTATTATGCAAGGGATTAATTTACTGATGAATAATGAGAAAAGATTTTTTAACGAATTTATTGTAGTGGAAATTATACTGAAACGCTTTTGACTTGTGTTTTTGAGAAAAAAAAAGAATTACCATAAATGTGATAAAAGTACTAAGTAAGAGAGAGAGAGAAAGAGCTAGAGACACAGATATATGTGTAATATATATATATATATATATATATATATATATATATATATATATATATATATATATATATATATATATATATGTATGTATGTATATACATACTGTGTGTTCATATGTGTATATATATATATGTATATATGTATGCATTTATATATATTTATGTATTTATTTATATATACTTATATGTGTAACGATTTATTACATATATATTTTTAGATAGATAAGGATTGGTCACACTGCCTTCAGTGTTCTTTCGGAGAGAACTATCGTCTCAGTAAACTATCGTAACAGCAAACAAAGGCCTTTCCATCGGGAATGCGTTTACGGGCTATTTCACGGAGAGCATTGCTTCATTCATCCATTAATGTTCTTTTCAAATTCCTGCTTTTCTAATCCTTGTGACTGGTGTTCCACAGCGGCTCTCTGGCTCTCACTTTATCCAGCAAAGCGTAAATAACTTCCCTAAGAGAGCTCCATGTTTTTGGCGTCAGAGTGGGTGGATGTTTTTGTTCGTGAGTCAAATGAACGTCTATCTCAATTATCAATAAACATTTAATAAAACGTCATTATTCGATGAAATATAGCCTTGTATTTAATAATTAATTTGTTTTTTATCATATATATTATAGATTCTAATTATTGAGTTTACCAGTAATTATATTATAGTATTAGTTTCGGCGATATTTTCCAGCTCTAGGAAGGGATGGAATACCGACGTAGCGTTTTTCGTGGGGATTTGCATCTCGGATCCGTTTACAGCTAGGGAAGCATCCAGCTCTGTAAAGGGATCTCAGGGACAGAGTAGATTAATGTGACCGGCCCTTAAGAAACTGTTACTGGTAAATCTCATTAGTGCTGCCTCAGTTCAGTAGTAAAACGCTCTGTGATTGGTCGATTTTTTTTTTCCGAGCTCACGCTGATTGGTCGTTCGAGCCGTTCTTGTGGGAAATAAAGCGATAGTAAATACGGTCGTAATAGTTACGAGACGCCTAAGCTCTCGCTGTTTGGCGTTCGAAAATGGTTCGTAACGTCGCTAGTTCAGGAAGCGTTGATTATATATATATATATATATATATATATATGTATATATATACATACTGTGTGTTCATATGTGTATATATATGTATATATGTATGCATTTATATATATGTATGTATTTATTTATATATATTTATGTATTTATTTATATATACTTATATGTGTAACGATTTATTACATATATATTTTTAGATAGATAAGGATTGGTCACACTGCATTCAGTGTTCTTTCGGAGAGAACTATCGTCTCAGTAAACTATCGTAACAGCAAACAAAGGCCTTTCCATCGGGAATGCGTTTACGGGCTATTTCACGGAGAGCATTGCTTCATTCATCCATTAATGTTCTTTTCAAATTCCTGCTTTTCTAATCCTTGTGACTGGTGTTCCACAGCGGCTCTCTGGCTCTCACTTTATCCAGCAAAGCGTAAATAACTTCCCTAAGAGAGCTCCATGTTTTTGGCGTCAGAGTGGGTGGATGTTTTTGTTCGTGAGTCAAATGAACGTCTATCTCAATTATCAATAAACATTTAATAAAACGTCATTATTCGATGAAATATAGCCTTGTATTTAATAATTAATTTGTTTTTTATCATATATATTATAGATTCTAATTATTGAGTTTACCAGTAATTATATTATAGTATTAGTTTCGGCGATATTTTCCAGCTCTAGGAAGGGATGGAATACCGACGTAGCGTTTTTCGTGGGGATTTGCATCTCGGATCCGTTTACAGCTAGGGAAGCATCCAGCTCTGTAAAGGGATCTCAGGGACAGAGTAGATTAATGTGACCGGCCCTTAAGAAACTGTTACTGGTAAATCTCATTAGTGCTGCCTCAGTTCAGTGGTAAACGCTCTGTGATTGGTCGATTTTTTTTTTCCGAGCTCACGCTGATTGGTCGTTCGAGCCGTTCTTGTGGGAAATAAAGCGATAGTAAATACGGTCGTAATAGTTACGAGACGCCTAAGCTCTCGCTGTTTGGCGTTCGAAAATGGTTCGTAACGTCGCTAGTTCAGGAAGCGTTGATACTTCTCGTAACTGTTACGAGAGACAGCGTTTACGCGAGTTTAGTAAATCCGGCCCCTGATTTCCAGTAAAAGAGGCTCTCAGTGGTAACCGATGTTGCTTCAACCATGGCACTTCGGTCTTCAGTTTAAGCAACATTCCCTGATCAGATTAGTTACTACATTTTCTGAGACGTGAGTAATATTCAGGGGACCACACACACACACACGCATATATATATATATATATATATATATATATATATATATATATATATATATATATATATATATATATATATATGTATATACACATGTATATATATATTAATTCATTTATTTACTTATTTATATATTTGGGGAGAGAGCTCAAAATTTGTACATTAATTATGGACACGTTTTGTTCTATTTTTGTATTCCATTTCACCTTCCAGCAACGATTGAGAGATGGACTGGATTTACTGCTGCTCCAGGGCGACGGAGAGCGAAGACGATTCTAAAGACACAGAATGCATTTTACCTGACAGCGACACTGATGAACCATCAGGAGGTGTCGTTCCTGCAACTGACTCGGATTCTCCGCGTTCAGCCTTGGATAAGCTTAGTATATCTGTTTCTTCATCTCGTTCCTCTTCTGATGGATCTCTCCACGAGTCGCGTCCCCCTGATCTCTCTCCCCCCACTCCAACGGGGGGTCTCGCAGTCTCTCCTTGTGTCGTAGATGGCCATTCTCCTTCCTCCTCTGTTTCAGTGTTTGGTCCAGTTCCTTCTCATCCCACTGTAGTTTCCACACCTGTTGGTCCCCCTCCCATTTTTTCCCACACAGAGCCTCTTCTTCTTGAATCCGGTCAGTCGGTTCCCCTCTCATGCTCTACACCTATTTCTCTCACTTCTCACACCACCGAGTCTTGCTCCTTTTCCTCCGCACTTGACTTTCTCCATTCTCCACCTTCCATCACTTCTGCGGAGGTCAAATCTCCCTCTCTCGGAAAACCTGACTTAGATCCTTCGTTGCCCACCTCAACTGGGTCTTCCTCATCCCCAAGTCCTCCTGTAGTAGCTCCGTCAGCCTCGCCAACTCATACGTCCTTAGCTCAAAGCCCTTTACCAAGACGACCCAATCCTGCTCTCCCAATGCCTGGCGCAGTTAAACTATCTACCTCTGGTGCCCCGCAGTCTGGTCTCTTTCAATCTTTTGCTCAGGCACCTGTTTCCCCGGTATGCAATCAGTGTGCACGGGCATCATGTTTATATAATAAGCCAGGTCGTTTATGCACTATATTCGACCAGAGATATGTTTACATTGGCCATAGAGATTCCTTTATCTTGGTGGAACTGAAAAGGCGGGTATCATGCGGGCTCACTTTAGGAACAAGATTAGTGTGGAAAAAAGGTAAGCCTCATCTCCTCTCAGACCTCGCTGACGGAGCCCAGGTAGTCTGTGATGCCCTTTCACTGCCTGATACCCATGGGTTCCATGCCTTACTCATCTGGCAGGGGAATAAACCTAATTTGATTACGGAACCAACGGAGGAAAGAGAGGTCATGGTGTTACAAAGACATGATGTGCGAGTGACGGGTATAGAAGCCAGTGAAGTCGGTGGAGGGAGTGTTGATGTCGACTTTAAGGGCAAGTCAATTAAAGTCAAATTTGCAGAAGAAGTTGTATTTGTAGATGGACAGAAGTCAAACACCAGTGATATTATTACGTCATTCTACAAGTTCACCTGTAGTGTTTTTGCTACACTTCATGAGGCACTTGGAGGGGGCAGTGGAGAAACTTTATCTTACGTCTGTTCATGTGTCTGGACAGGCACACGACCCCCAGCAAACCTGTTGGTCAAGGTAGAGCAAGGAGATGTTTTTAAGAAAAATGAAAATGGGACCTATGAAAAGACTAGTGCCTCACAAAGTGTATACTGTGATCTTCCTGCAGTACTGAAGACGTCAGAGCAGGGTAAAAAAATTATATTTCGCTCAGTGGATGAAGTCAGACATTTGCCTATTAGGAACGAAGACATTTTTTATGAAAGTGAAAGAGAAGTCTCTCCCTTACCATCAGAAATTGCTGTCCTGGCTCATATTTTGAGACTTGAAGGGGCGAATAGAACTTGTGCTCTGAAGGTTATCGGAGTTCATCTACCAAGTGAAAATACAAAAAGAGCTGGAATTTCTTGCAAATCACAGGAAACCAAGAAAGTGTTGACCTCAGTGTCGGGGACCAAAGAAATCTCCAGACAGTCAGAGAGTGAAGTGAATCAGTTTGTGGATCACGAGAAGAATGAAACTCAAAAAAGGGAAAACAACCAAACAGAACATGACCAAAAAGAAGAAAAAACACATTTAGAAAACAATCAACATAAAGGTAAGCTTCAACCAGAAAAGGAAGTCGATTCCATTCATGTGAAGGAAAGCATTCTTCAGAAAAAGACGGTTACAGAGGAAGAGCATAAAGGGAAAGATATCTGTGTTGAAGACTGCATCTGGCACTACGGAAGCATCTCCCAAGGCATCGCAAAGACGCCTCAGAAATCGATACTCATTACCTATGACGTTCTCTATGTGAATGGCCAAAGGATATCTGCTACGGACACTGTGGCAAAGTATTCCGAAAAGGGAAGTACAGTGAGTGTGGCAACAGTGCCACTGGTGTCTCCCTCTCAGGTTCTAGGAGTCACCGTGACCCACAAGGCTCTCGCAGCATGGGAGGGAGCCAAACCCGAGTGCGTGGAGGAGATAATCAAGGCATACGCATCTGGAAGCCATGTCCAGCCAGGCACGGGGGTCGTCCCTGAGACAAAAATAGAGAGGAGTGTCACTTGTGATCGAGTAACAAATTCTGCTCCATCTCTGCACCAGGATCATCATGCCACATCTGAAAAGCTGGCAAAATCTAGTTGTGTCGAATATATTGCCGGATATCGTTGGAAAATTGCAAGTATATCTCAGGCACTTATCTACAAAAAAGACAGAGTAGTTCTCGTCAAACATGAAGTGTTTTTTGTCGACAAGAATAGAGTACCAAATACTGACCCCATGTCAAAATTCGTAGGTAAAGAAGGTAAAGAGAGTTTTGTGAATGCACTGGTGGTTCCGGTGTCATCCCCACAGGTCATTTCAGGTCAGAACGTCACTCACGAGGCGCTGGTGGCATGGTGTGGGAAAAAGCCTAGTGAGGCAGACAACTACGTGGCAAAATACTCAGTGGAAAAAAGCAAACTCCCTCATGCTCCAAGCACCCCTGTGAAGACATCTTCCCTTCAAGAAATAAGAACTACAACAGCCCTGCCAAACCTTAGAGATACAAAGACACTTTCGACAGAGAAGATGAACGTTCCCAGGAAAGACGATACTAAGGCAAGTGTTAAGGCTACAACTGCCAATAATTCATCAAATAAGAAGCTGACTACAAAGAGCGAAAAACCGGGCCCGACAATCGCAAGTAAAAAAGTCCCCGGCAACCAGACGAAGAAGAAGGCTCCTCCCAGACACGCCCAAGGGAAGCTGCACAGGGTCGTCGGGGATCATGGCATCCTGGAGGTCCGCTGCAAAGGCGTGGAAGGAGAAAGAGCAATGGTGGCGTTCCATCGCTCAGTGACCTTCCTCCATCAGCAGAAAGTCGATCAAAAGAAGTGCTTGGAGAAGCAGCTCTCCCCACACCAGGCCGTTGACTTCTTTTGTTATATTGAAAGCCATGACATGAACATGGGAGGTGTCGCCTGCCAGTTCAAGGCTACGCTGGTGTGGTTGGGAAAGAAGCCGAAGACTGATACAAACCGGGATGCAGAAGCTCATGTTAGTAAGAGTCAAAATACGAAAGTGAGTACATTTGTCAACTTTATGTTCAAGAAATTAGCATTTATTTTGGATATTCAGTTATTAACTTTATGTTCAAGAAATTAGCATTTATTTTGGATGTTCAGTTATTAACTTTATGTTCAAGAAATTAGCATGTATTTTGGATGTTCAGTTATTAACTTTATGTTCAAGAAATTAGCATTTATTTTGGATGTTCAGTTATTAACTTTATGTTCAAGAAATTAGCATTTATTTTGGATGTTCAGTTATTAACTTTATGTTCAAGAAATTAGCATTTATTTTGGATGTTCAGTTATTAACTTTATGTTCAAGAAATTAGCATTTATTTTGGATGTTCAGTTATTAACTTTATGTTCAAGAAATTAGCATTTATTTTGGATGTTCAGTTATTAACTTTATGTTCAAGAAATTAGCATTTATTTTGGATGTTCAGTTATTAACTTTATGTTCAAGAAATTAGCATTTATTTTGGATGTTCAGTTATTAACTTTATGTTCAAGAAATTAGCATTTATTTTGGATGTTCAGTTATTAACTTTATGTTCAAGAAATTAGCATTTATTTTGGATATTCAGTAATTATTATTTCGATGTTTTTTTCGGTATTATGAGTCAGCAGATGTCCTCTAGAAAACTTGCAATGTTCTCTTCCTCTCATCCACAGAAAAACAACGTAGGCCCTGGTGTCCTAAGGCTTCAGAATGCGGCCGGCGCTGTCGCTCATGCCTCGGGCCAGGCGGCAGTTCTGAAGGTGAGGAATGCGGCCTTGGAGGGCGGAGTGGCTCTCGTCTTCGTCCGCAGTTCGGACGTCTACGTCAACCAAAGGAAAATCGAGAGCGCGAACGAAATGTCCAGACATCACATTTGGCAGTGCAACATTAGAGCCTGGAAGACCCCTGGCACTCCCGTGGAGGGCTTCGTGTGCCACTTCAAGGCTGAGCTGGCTTGGGTGGGGAAGATGCCAAAGAAGGATGCCGGGGTGGGCAGCGCAGACAGCTCGCAGAAGGGGCCTGAGAAGGCTAAGGTGAGCAAGACTGTTTGTTCGAGACCAAGAAGTAAAATGTACTTACTGCCTCTCAATATCAGGGAGACAAAGCAAAAACATAAGATATATAGATATATACAAAAAAAAAAAAAAAAAAAAAAAAAGTTCGATCTTCACATTCCATCCTTCTCCTTCCGCAGAAAAGCCCCGCCCTACCTCTGCTACCCACGCCGGGGCCTCCACGGATCCCAAATGCCCAGACTGCCCTCGTGAGTGTGCAGGACCAGAGGGCAGTGCTAAGAGTGACCAAAAAGAAAGGACCGTCATTCTACGCCTCCGGCCACTACACCGACGCCTACGTCCTTCAGGAGAGAGTGCAGAGGCCAGGCGACATGCTCCGACATCCCAGGTGGAACTGCGACCTGAGGAAGTGCGAGCAGCTGAGCCTCTCCGCCGACGGCTTCGTGTTGGAGTACGAGGTGGAGCTGGCGTGGGTCGGGAAGAAGCCGGGCCGGGCGGAGGGGGGGGAGGCGCCGGGGGAGGAGGCGACGGAGGAGGAGGCGGTGAGAAAATCTCTGTGCTTGCTTGTTTACTCATCCCGTGTGCTTACATATACAGATAGACATATATATATATATATATATATATATATATATATATAGAGAGAGAGAGAGAGAGAGAGAGAGAGAGAGAGAGAGAGAGAGAGAGAGAGAGAAAGAGAGAGAGAGAGAGAGAGAGAGAGTATGAGAGAGATATGCATTTCTAAATGTGTGTAACTATATTTATGTGTATATATGTATAAACTCACACACACACACACACACACACACACACACACACACACACACACACACACACACACACACACACACACACACACACACACACACACACACACACACACACACACACACGCACACACACACACATGTATGTATATACAGAGATAAATATATACATGTATTTACATACATATGTTTATATGATTAAATGTAATGCATTGATGAACTATTTGTAGCAGAATATGTAATTAAGAAATTAACCTAATTGCTATGTAAAAAAAAGACACATTTTTTACATACAACATTTTTTTTCATAATTTTTGTAGATTACACATTTCATTTCATATTTAATTTTTATTAGAAATTCTGGTATTTTTGGAACGATCTTTAACTTTATTTTACAAACTAAAATTCTAGGTTTTATTGTGTTAACATAAACTTTATGATACCACTGAAATATTTTGTCAATACAACTCTTGTTATCTATACTCT